AGATATCATTTGCATATTCGGATACAAATTACTAGTACAAAGTTATGTTCAAGTCACCCGGTTACTTTAATTAGTTTAATAAAACGTTTTATGCCTTAAATCTGAGAAATGTCTGATTAATTAAATTAAAAAAATGCATGATTCACGCTAGGAAGCTGTAGTCCTTTCAAAGTTATCAAGACATTAAATTGGACGATAAATGACTAACTTTATAAATTCACTAGAACCTTTGTGTTCTATTGCTGTTCGACGCGAGAAATCGAATCCGTTCAAGCCAGAAATAGTATTGAAATATTCACCAGATCTAGAATACAAGATGAACGGGAATGTTAGGAGACTCCTTTCAGTGCAATTAGTGTTTAATGTTTCTTTCCCAACTATATACGTTAACAGAACGTTTTTTTCTCCTTCCACGTGCGCCATTTCACTACAATAACATTACCTTGCAAAACATAGTACTCGATAAAATGGTTCGTATTTACGTTTTTACTGAAGTCTGCCATTAATAAATAGTTCGGATGTCACATACGTTTTTTCCCATTTTTTGTAACACGTTTCCAGATGTAACAACTGCAGGAAAATGGCCGTGTGAGTGACCACAAAATTGAAGGCTGCCGGTCGTGGCAGAGATACTGTTGCGTAAAGCGCAAAGACCTAATATGGGTAGGTGATTAAATTTCACCGTGTAAACGTTCGAGAGCTCATCAGAATGCCGGAAACCAGGGAAACCGGCGTGTAAGTTGCGTAAATCACCCGCTCCAATTCTCGCACAATGGCGCTATGACCCGATATTCATCTATTGTGCGTTGCTTGAAACTGTTGGACGAAACTGTACAACAGTAAAAAATATCGCTTTGGAAACTAGCCTATATCAAAGTTTGCAGGTGGTGACAATATTTTGTATTTGTGATGAAACGAATAAAATGTCAGTTACTCATCAGAATGTTACGTATTACTAATTAACATAGTAATATACTCGTTTTCGCTTAAGTGTAACAATGGTCACGGTGTTTCGTATATCACATAAACCCATTTCTGCTCCTGTAAACGAAAAATGATGCAGGCCACTATAATTGAAGGTACGGGGGTATACACATAGAACTATGGAAGTGTTCCGATTGCGGAAATGTGGGATACCACGTAATCACTTGGCGATGGAAATAATTCAAATCACATACAAAAATATATGATAAGTCGAAATTCAATAGAATCATGTTTATAGCTGTTAAAAGCCAAATTGGCTGCATCGTTCTTTCATTGATAAAAGGGGATATAATCTGGTAATTCTCCCGCAGCTGTTGCACATACTGATGTGGTTCTGTCGGCAGCTCTCTTTTCTCACAAAACAGTATTTATCATTTTGGGGGGAGGGGCATTGTTAGAAGTTCGTCGGAGCCCATTTATTCTATAAGAACTAAATGAAAGGTCAAATTAAGTTCAGCTGTGGGTAGGTACCTCTAGGGAAAAATAAGCATTTAGTAAACATTACACATATTGTAAAACTTATCCTTTTGATGCGTATCTTGTAGTAACACTGATTGACAACATTTTACTAATGCTCACATCTCGTTATACTGGTCCATTTTGTTGCTATTTTTTTTCTTCAAGTTCAAGTCACCCAAATGAACGTCATGACATTCAACCCACTGGAAGCTTACCAAAATACCAATTATATTTTTTTAATTAAAGTGTTATTAAAGTCCTCCTTTTTATAGTTCCGACAATGGGATTAGTTACATTGGCTCAAAGTGACTCTCATTAACATTATCTCCAACATCAACACATCGGCACGAACGGATTTGGATTTGATTAATTAACCGATTTTCTGTCAGATTATATCCAACCGAATGAGGGGGGGGGGTAAGTAAATTTGTTCATTCGTGTTTTAGTACTCGACTGTTATATAATTAATTAATTAGTTAATAATTAAACGCTATGTATTGTAACAATTGAACTCACTAT